GGAAGGCTTAGGAAAGGCTTAGGGAAGGCTTAGGGAAGACTTGGGGAAGGTTTATGTAAGACTTCGGCGAGAATACCCAAAGCGTGGGGCGGCCGGCGGGGGATTTGTGGAGGGCGTAATGACGTCATCGGTTGTGCGGTTTTTGTAAACCGGAAGTGACGTCATAGTTCTGGGCAAGTTCGGGCAAGGCTGATTGCGGTGGACCGGAAGTGACGTCATCGGGATGCGCGGGAGGGGTGCGCAGTAGTGGTTAATTAGTCTTTTTGTCACCCTGGGGGTGGGGGTGGGGGTGAGGTTCCTACTACTCAAAATATGGTAAAGTTGTAAAATTGACAAACAAAATAATGTAAGAATTATTCAGGAAAATCTTAAATCGCGGTACCTTTACGCTTTTGAGTTGTGCTCCTGCTAGTTTTAAGTTATATTTATGAAAATATCATTTTTATACAGTAAAATAGTTGTTCTAAAAAATTGTGTTCGGAAATTTTTGTTTATTTCGTCATTCCGCTGATATGGCGAGTTCTTTGACGACTGCAATATATTTCTGAATTGTTTGAGTGAATTGCTCTTTATTTTTAAAATATCCAAAATTAAAAAAAGCCGAACACAATTTTGAAGCTGACGTATTTAGCTATGTCCTGTGAAAATTTGAGAAAAATTGGTTAAAACCCGCAGGAGCACAACTCGTTTGAAAATCAGTAATTACCGTAAAATTTTTCGGGAGAAAATTGAATTTGAATATTACATTTTCAATGTTTTTCTTATTGCAGCGAAATGTATTTTACTAAATAACTCTGCGAGTTTTGAACATTTTTCGTTCAAACTTGGTCAGATAGTAGAACTAGTCTAGTGCTTTCATTGAAACCAATAACAAAAATTTTAGGCAAAATTAACACTCAAAGGTGTTCTGTAACCTTAATGGGGAAGGGGGTAATATATGCAAAAACGATATATATATATATATATATATATATATATATATAGATATATATATATATATATATATATATATATATATATATATATATATATATATATATATATATATATATATACAACCTCGTTCCCAGGGCTTCAGTGTGAGGACGAGGCGAGACACGAGGAAGCCCTGGTCCGGGCCGGTCACGTGACGACAAAATTTGGCAGTATTTGACAGCTACTCGTCAAGGAGTGTCGAGATATTCTTTAATGAATTATACAAGTCTTCGAAACAAATAAATAGCCAAAGGACTTCTCAATCGATATTATTTATGTGTAGAGCGAAGTTTGGCACGAATCAGCTAAAATCTATGAAGATCCCGTCTATGTTTTCTAAGATATACCGATATTTCTGGAGATTTTCAACTACAGGCAAAGCTGCATCCAAGCTGCATCTAGGCGTCTCCATGCAAGTGGTGATTCACACGAAATTTCCTTTCTCTCGTCTTGAACAATACGGCTATTGCTATAATTAATATTTAGTTTAAATATGCTCTTATAGATCTGACTTAGTTCAATATAAATAAACACAAATATAAAACCTCGCGTAACCTGTTTACGCTGTACAGGAATATACGGATTCGCTTGTTTCGCCGGACACCAACACTTGCCGTTCAGGAGCAATGCTTGCCTACAAATTTTATCCCTTTCACAATCTTTGTTTTATTTTATCGTATAGTCGCAATTTTCAAGTATTCGGGGTATTCTGGAAATGTGAAACTCGGTGGCGTGACGAATCTTGTAGGGACTACATCGGCCTAGGCGTAGAGCTATTATACTGTAAGTAAACAGAGCCTAAATTAATTTAGTAGTCTCATTTAATTGTTTGTCTTGCTTTTATTTGTCAGTACAGAATATTGTAAATTAAAATATTACTACAATGCAATACGCGTAGTATTTCATCATACATCTGCACTACAATATAAATACTGTACAGGGAAAACTCAAAACTACGGCTCAAGTAACAGTAGACGTTTCTTGTTTTGTCAGGCTCGCGTCTCAGCTCACGTCGACACGGCTTTTGAGTTTTGTAACCGGCCGAGGCGAAATCATGCAGTCGGGAAAACGTCTCATTTTGAAAGATTATTTTGCAAAACAAAGTCGTACACATAAGAATCATAAAAATACAAATGTTGAATTGTTATTGTCAAGTTCAGTTATTTTTAGACAATATGGTGTTAGCCAATCAGAATGCAAAATTGACCGGCCCGGACCAGGGCTTCCTCGTGTCTCGCCTCGTCCTCACACTGAAGCCCTGGGAACGAGGTTGTCCTTCCTGGTCATTGATTTTACGCATTGACATTTCATGTATGATAAAACTTCGTTCAATTCATGTCCAACGTCCAACGTTTTAGTGATCGGGCGGTGGAAATTACTTTGTAGTACTTCGATAGTAAAACCACATTCTATCCTTTCCTCTTTAGAATTCAATTGCTCTATAAATGTTTTCTCATTTTTTCAACGATGTTCTAAATAGCTCATATTCACAAAAATTCTAACAAAAAGTATTGTTTACTTTTGGTGAACTATGAAGTGTACCAAAATCTTGCAATTTCTCTGCAGATAGGCCTACATGATATGATAAAATATTACCTCAATTACTTTAGTCATTGGCTACAGCTTTTAAAACTGCCGAATCAGCGTTTAAAAGCATTCTGTCCAATTTGTCCCCAAGTGGTTCAAAGCACCCGACAGTGTGCGAATACTTCAACCCTTCTGCTGCACACATTCGTTCAAAAGAAGTTTCAGTAGAAAAAAGAGAACTGCATGATCAAGTCAGTGTCAGTGACAGAAAATTATCGACGTAATAGTAATAAATTAGTGACCGAGGGTGAGGGCAGTACGGCAAAATATCCAAGCGAAGTATCTTGCTTTATAGTGAAATTATTCTACAGCACTTTTTGTAGAATACTAACAATTAAAGTTTTGGATAGTATATTTCAAGAAAAAGACAAGGTATCTATAGTCATTTAACAACAAATATGATAACAATAACATAATTAAACAGCATCGACAACTCGACAAGCTTGTTTCTAGTTCGCTTCATGTCATATTTATGCCTCCTTTTAACTAACAAAAACAGAAATTTTCAGGAAAAACTATAAATCTGTTGCTGCTTTAGTTGTATTTTTGATTTTGAAAGTTTGCAGCTCTTTACATGTTGAAAACACAACTATTCTTGATAATCTTGACTGCTTTAACACTAATATGAGTAATAGTTAAAAACTTCGTAATTTCGACTTTTGCTAACATTAACAAAAACGTAATTGAGAAAGTTCTTTAACAACAGCAGTTGCTCTTTCTCTCAAATTTAGATTTCGCATGATTACCAAGCGACTAGCTAATGACCTGTGTCTACAACCATCTATAGCAACAACGCTTTAGTCATATCTACTAATCTACATACCAGTGTGCAGTATAAAGGCGGCGAACTGGAATAATAATATATGTTCTTGTGCCAAGAAAGATTCCAAGTTACCTCCAAACGATATGGAAATTGAGTTCCTCCTTTTCAGCTTTTGGTATAAATATACATTTTGTCCCAATGAACCTTTATAATCCTTCAATGCTATTTGATAGGAATAGGATGTTGACTCGAAAGAAGCAGGCGATGTCTCACTTTGAGTTTTATTTATGTAGATCCAAAAGACCAAAATATTATTACTGACTGGATAGTTTGGAAACTGCGCGCCGGAAATTTCGAAAATTCAATAGTAAATATAGACAAAGCATCAAAATTGCGCTTCCGATCACTCCGCCGCGCGATACAAACTTTACATATATAAAATTATGTACAAATTATCTACTTCCCTCCTCGATAACATAACAGTGAAACGTCGTAATAACTTTTACTGAATTCTTAATATATTTTAATATATTTCTTTCAAAAACCCCAAAAGAAAAGACATGCACGACTGGACCAAATATAGTTAATTGCGAACTTTTGCACGCTATTCCATGGTCGCCATTTTGATTTTGATTTCGTAAGAATTACGTAATTAAAATGACGTAATTTGTCATTCTGTGGCGTACCAAAGGGCAAACCTAGAGTCGGTGGGCACCACAGGTGGCCCCACCGACTAATTAAACAAGGCGTGAAACAAAGGTGGAAGACCATTTCGTTTCATCAAAACCTAGTCAGTATAAACCTTACTTGCCAAGCAGTAGTGAAATGAGTATCTGCCTCGGGAGAATATAGGATAACCACGCTCTGCTTAATTAACATTAAATGCAAAAGAGCTTTAATAAACAACAATGATTTATCTTAATAGAATCCAACTGAAAAGAAGAATGTGGTTTCAATCCAAAGATCCTATTTATACGTTCGGAAATTAAAGAAAAAACCAGGAACGGATTAGGTTGCAGCAGCTTTATATAAGAATGGGGAATAATATTTCAAAGAAGCATCAGCTAGATGAGTACTTAAACGCCGGACGCTCTTATAGAGAAAGCCATCAGTTTCAACAGGCATTTGAAAACCTTCAAAAAGCCTTGATATTAGCCAAGGAACTGAAAGACGGAAAGAAAGAATCCAAGGGAAACATTGAGCTAGGTAATACTTATATATGGGACAATCAGATTCAAACGGCAATTGGACACTATGAAAAAGCCTTGGAAATTGCCAATGAACGAGGATATAAACTACAGGAAACACGCGCATACCTTGAGTTAGGGCATGCTTATATATTGAACAATCGGATTCAAAAGGCAATGGAATACTATGAAAAAACCTTGAAAATTGCCAAAGAACAAGGATATAAACTGGAGGAAACAAAGACATACCTTGGGTTAGGAGATGCCTATAGATTAAACAATCAGATTCAAAAGGCGACCGAATACTATGAAAAAGCCTTGGAAATTGCAAAAGAACGAGAATATAAACTAGAGGAAACAAAGATATACCTTGGGTTAGGAGATGCCTATAGATTAAATAATCAGATTCAAAAGGCGACGGAATTCTATCAAAAAGCCTTGGAAATTGCAAACGAACGAGGATATAAACTAGAGGAACCACATGCGTACCTTGGGTTAGGATATGCTTATAAATTGAATAATCAGATTCAAAAGGCAGTGGAATGCTATGAAAAAACCTTGGAAATTGCAAAAGAACGAGGATATAAACTAGAGGAAACAAAGACATACCTTGGGTTAGGAGATGCCTATAGATTAAACAATCAGATTCAAAAGGCGACGGAATACTATGAAAAAGCCTTGGAAATTGCCAATGAACGAGGATATAAACTACAGGAAACACGCGCATACCTTGAGTTAGGGCATGCTTATATATTGAACAATCAGATTCAAAAGGCAATGGAATACTATGAAAAGACCTTGAAAATTGCCAAAGAACAAGGATATAAACTGGAGGAAACAAAGACATACCTTGGGTTAGGAGATGCCTATAGATTAAACAATCAGATTCAAAAGGCGACGGAATTCTATCAAAAAGCCTTGGAAATTGCAAACGAACGAGGATATAAACTAGAGGAACCGCACGCGTACCTTGGGTTAGGACATGCTTATAAATTGAATAATCAGATTCAAAAGGCAGTGGAATGCTATGAAAAAGCCTTGGAAATTGCAAAAGAACGAGGATATAAACTAGAGGAAACAAAAACATACCATGGGTTAGCAGATGCTTACAGATTGAACAATCAGATTCAGAAGGCAATGGAACACTATGAAATAACCTTGGAAATTGCAAAAGAACGAGGATATGAACTAGAGGAAACATGGGCGTACCTTGGGTTAGGACGTGCTTATAAATTGTACAATCAGATTCAAATGGCAATGGAATACTATGAAAATGCCCTGAAAATTGCAAAAAAACGAGGATATAAACTAGAGGAAACATGGGCATACTTTGGGATAGGACATGCTCATAAATTGAACAAACAGATTCAAATGGCAATGGAATACTATAAAAAAGCCTTGGAAATTGCAAAAGAACGAGGATATAAACTAGAGGAAACATGGGCATACTTTGGGATAGGACATGCTTATAAATTGAACAAACAGATTCAAATGGCAATGGAATACTATAAAAAAGCCTTGGAAATTGCAAAAGAACGAGGATATAAACTAGAGGAAACATGGGCATACTTTGGGATAGGACATGCTTATAAATTGAACAAACAGATTCAAATGGCAATGGAATACTATAAAAAAGCCTTGGAAATTGCAAAAGAACGAGGATATAAACTAGAGGAAACATGGGCATACTTTGGGATAGGACATGCTTATAAATTGAACAAACAGATTCAAATGGCAATGGAATACTATAAAAAAGCCTTGGAAATTGCAAAAGAACGAGGATATAAACTAGAGGAAACATGGGCATACTTTGGGATAGGACATGCTTATAAATTGAACAAACAGATTCAAATGGCAATGGAATACTATAAAAAAGCCTTGGAAATTGCAAAAGAACGAGGATATAAACTAGAGGAAGCAAAAACATACCTTAAGTTAGGATATGCTTATAGATTGAACAAACAGATTCAAAAGGGAATGGAATACTACGAAAATGCCCTGAAAATTGCAAAAGAACGAGGATATAAACACGAAGAAATGTGCGCGTACCTTGGGTTAGGAGATGCTTATAGATTGAACAATCAGATTCAAAAGCCAATGGAATACTACGAAAATGCCCTGGAAATTGCAAAAGAACGAGGATATAAACACGAGGAAATGCGCGCGTACCTTGGGTTAGGAGATGCTTATAGATTGAACAATAAGATTCAAAAGGCAATGGAACACTATGAAAAAGCCTTGGAAATTGCAAAAGAACGAGGTCATAAACAGAATGAAATACGCGCTTACTCTGCGTTAGGAGATGCTTATAGATTGAACAATCAGATTCAAAAGGCAATGGAATACTATGAAAAAGCATTGGAAATTGCCAAAGAACGAGGTTATAAACTAGAGGAAACAGGCGCTTACTTTGAGTTAGGAGATGCTTATATATTGAACAATCAGATTCAAAAGGCAGTGGAATACTATGAAAAAGCATTGGAAATTGCCAAAGAACAAGGTTATAAAGTAGAGGAAACAG